AATTCAAGAAAAAAGTCTTCCTTCGAATCATGCTGATTTTGCGCATTTATATAACCGCATCGGCTTGGTATATAACAATATGGGAGAGTACTCGAAAGCATTTTCATCACACGAGAAAGCACTTGAAATTCATGAAAAAACTCTTCCGCCGAGTCATCCTGAGTTGGCTACTTCGTACAACAATATTGGTTGTGTTTATAGAAATATGGAAGATTATTCGAAAGCACTATCATATTATGAACATGCTCTGGACATCAGAGAACATGCATTACCTCCAACTCATCCTCATATAAAAACTGTAAAAGATAGTATTGAATTTGTAAAAACGAATTTACAAAGAATATGTAGTAAATAAATAAAAGAATGTTTTGTTCACTTATTTCCGAATTAATTCTAGTTTGTAGGGATTCGCCCACACGTACAGTGGACAACTCCGGAAATAATAAAAAATGGAAATCGAGATAGGATTAGTCTTACTAATGAGATAAATCTTGTTCTAGATGATCTAAATTAATTTAAAATACTAAACTTACTTGTTTAGATCACAACCATGGGGTGAGAGTATTGAATTAACTGACTGAATTGTAGTTTCAATAACTATTCAGATTCTGATAAAATTTATACAACCTATAGAGTTCATCGAGTTAATTATTTTCTTGTATCACCTAAATGATTAAAATAAACTCATTTAATACATTAATTCAACTTTTATTTGATTTAACATAAACAATGAAATTCAAAAGTAATTAATATATTTATTATAATTAATGAACAGTGTTTTCTATTTCTAACAATAGAATTAAGAGTGATCAAAGTCATTGGTATTTTATATAATTTTTTAAATAATCAATATCTATCATAAGAAATGATGACGTTACAATAAAATTTATTTTATTCCAGTTTTACAGATAAAATCACATGTATATTTTTTCTTAAATGGCAAATAAATTACATCCTTAAAAAAGTGAATAGGACGTAATGTCTTCTGATTATTAATTATTTACAAAATCTAATCATGACTTCATAGTTAATAGTTTTTCAAACTATTTCATATAGATAACATTTGTATGCAAGATGAATATTTCATATTAAACAATAATTAATAAGAATTATACGTTAAAAATAATATGCAATTTAAAAGTTGTATTAAATATTTGTTTGAGGGTGTGGGTGTAGATATCTCGTGCCGATACCAACACACATCTGCAGCTTCACTCAAACCCTCAAGATATTTCGAAGATTTTGACTTCTTTCGAGTATTTTAATCGTCTTCAGTTTTTGTTTCTAAGACTACTCGTTTTTTGCGACATGGTATGGATCAGTACCGAGAATCGATTATAAAATCGTAAACCAATCTGATCAGTAAGCTTATCGATTGAAATCACATTTTGAACCGAAAATATTCCGATGAAACAAACAAAAGAAAATCAGTGAAAAAATTTCAACTTCTTTTGAAAAATAGTTTTTATAGAAAAATAGACCCGAATATGAGATACACTCGTGGATAAAAGTCTTTCTTCCCTCTTTATTTCTGTGCTATCATACTTTGTATAAAATTTATTGTCGAGTAGAGATATGACTTGAGAGTTTTATTGTATTGTGATCCGCATACCATAATAAAATAAAACTCTCAAGTTATATCTTTGCTCGGTAATAAATTTTTAAGAGAAGTATGATAGCAAAGAAAAGAAGAGAGAGAAGACTTTTGTACGAGAGTGTAGTTTCGAAGAGCATGTATGAGACATCCTGTAAAAACCATCTTTTTAAAGTGAACTTCACAAAAAAGAATTAAATAACCTGTGTTTTGATGGTGTGGGTGTAGGTATCATGTTCTGTCGTCACTTACCCACACTCACATCTTAGTTTATAATTGCACATTTTGAACACTTATTATTTACTATAGTATTTTTGCTATTAATTTCCTTACTTTTTTCATTTTATTGGCAAAATTTCTCTGTAAATAATGTGAATACTTTTTCTTAATAGAAAAATATCTTAAGATTTCTAAGTTTATTTTTCAGAAAACTATAAAATTAAAGACAAAGATTATTGCGATACATTTATCTAAACGATCGTATAGATATTAGTTCATAATATAGAGCATGGGGGCGTTTGTCGAGGTTCAACATCGAATGTTCCATCCGGACGATCAACAATATCACAAAGATTTTTATACGTACGAAATTTTTCACAGCAATCTTTACTAAATAGATAAGATAATTTGGATTCACGTCGGGGAATGGAGTATCTAATTGAATCTTCTTCAATAGTAAAATAACCGTTCTTCTTAATCACACGTAAGAAAGTATAAGTGCCGTTACCTCTTTCGTGAAAGTAAGATTTAATAGTATACTTTGCTCGTGCAGTTGTATTCGCTGATTGATTATCTGATTGGAAATCTAATACAGATACCAAAACCATCGGAGCATGATTTGAGGGACTCGTAAACAGTTTTTGTATAAATGAAGCTTCTTGCGGTGTATTTATCTCATTATGTTCTCCATGATTTAAAAGCATATGACTATTACGATTGTTTTTATCTGTAACACAAACCCGAATAGGTTCATGAGATTCATTGTATACAAGACATCCGATCATGTGGCAACAATCGTGCATACCTTCAGTATTCAAATTTCCCATTCGACAAGGAGGAGGCATGTAACAATTATGGCTTCTCATTGTAACATCTGCTTCAGTTTTTCGAGAGTTTGACACAGCTGGAATTAATACTAATTGTTCTAATTTTCTTTTGATGATAACACCCCATTCATTGGGCAGTGTGTAAGAAAATGTATTCTGTTTTGGGTTAAGTGGTATAATAATAATGGTGTTCCATCCGTCGACTGTTTTTCTACACCAAAGTTCACCAGCAGATAAGATTCTGTCAGATTGATTATTATCCGTATCGATCAGACAAACCTTCACGGTTTCGGATGTTGAATTATAAATTGATGTGTCAGTGGTGGATCCGCTGCTCATCGTTTCAATAATTCTAATTTAATCTAAACATAAAAGTATGTGTCAAATATTGCAACAATCTGTTTATAGAATCTTTAACGATGAAGAAACAATCTAGAAAATTAATTAATTATTTGAGTTGAACTATCATATAAAACTTCGAATAAATAAGCGTCAGAAGAGAGCTTTTATTGTGAGAAGCCCTGTTGATTTCAACAAAAGATTATCCTTTTTTCGTTTTCTTTTTATTCAAACATACATTAACGATAAGAATTATATAACTCACCAAAAGAAATATACCCAATGATGATTCATTGTCACTATCACATTACTTATAAACGACGATCAAAAGTAAATATTTAAGTTCGTAGCACATGGCAGTGATTTATCAACTTTGTGCAATAACGCTAAGATCGATATTTACTCTTTTCCCATCACTAGATATGTCATATACTTTTTATTTCAATTTCTAAGCGAATTTTTGACAGTGATTTGTAGATGAATACATAGGAATGATATTAACATATGTAAAAGTCTCTTTGAGTTGCTTACTATAAAACACATCGCTCGACAAACCTGTTCTATTCAATTCATATTTCTTTTGTAGAAAAAGTTCGATCGTGGTTGTGAATAACTGACAAGATGATTGATACAACTCATTTTCAAGTACAAGGACAAAACAATAATGATAGTGACAAAATCGATATACATTTTCGAAATGTAGCAGATAACAAAGCTGTAAATATTCTTAAAAATGGATTTGTTGAAGGTATTCAGCAAATGGAATGTGCTCGACAATTAAGTGAAATTCAAGTTTATCGTAAAGCAATTCTAGATGAAGCAAAAGAAGTTCTACAAAATGGTGCATTTGGATTTGATTCGAAAAGACCTGAAAAATGGATTAGTGAATCATTCAAAAAAGTCTTATCTTTTCAAAATGAAATTGTACCAATAGAAAATCGTTCAAATGAACGTATATTACAACTAACATTAAATAAAAAAGGTTACCAACAGTTTCGTAACAATACTATTCCACAATTTCGATCAAAAGGTTCAGGTCAAAGTGTTTATAATTACGAGGGTATTGAAGGTGGTGCGCCTGCATCAAAAAGTTCAACAGTACCAACGGATGTTCCAAGAAATATTGGAATTAGAAATACTGAAATCGATAAATTTGATAAAACAATTAAGTCAGTGTCAATTCTTGATCCAGAAGATCCATTTGTTAAAAATCAATTTTTACGTTATTTATCCGAACATAAATTAGAATCAACAATGACTGCTATTTCTGTTATTTATGAAGGTTATCAAATTCTCATGGCTTTAATGGATAAAAATGGACAAACTTTGAAGAAATTAGTTATTCAAATTACAAATCTTGTTGTCAATAAAATTGGTTCATTAATAACAACAGCTTTGACTAGTCTAATGCCTGCTATGGGAGGTTTTGCTCTCGGAATATTAGGTGGATTGATATTTGGTTTTATTGGCAATAAATTGGGAGAAATGTTTTTTAGTATACATTCTCGAGTTGCTCCAGGAGAAGGACCACCTATTTCAGATTATTTTTCATTCATTTATGGTACAAATAATTGTTTTGGTGAACCTTTGAATGAATACAGTTTAGAACAACTTTTGACTGCACCCAGATCGGAATATTCTAATATAATCCAAGCAGTTGCTTTTCAACAACCAACTAATGATCATGACAATCAGTTCATTCAAATAGCATTTGGAAAACCAAAATAATAACATTTTATTTGTACTTTTGAGAGCTAAGATAATAAATATCGATTCCTAGATATGTATCGTCATTCTTCTTCGCTATCAATCATGCATAATACACGTGTATTTATTTTAGGGTACAAATTATATGGTCAGTTTTTTATTCAAAATGGTCAGTAAAAGACGATCAGTAATTAAGACTGTTTTGTCAGTATAATAACTGAATCGATCAGTAGAATAATTAATGGTCAGTGATTCTTGTTTTTTGATCAGTAGTTTAATCATTTGATCAGTAAAATAATGAATGTATCAGTATTTAAACAACAATATCAGTATTTAAACTAAAATATCAGTAGTTAACTACGTTTGATCAGTAAATTATCGCACTTTTATCAGTTTTCACAATTTTGTGATATCCCTCGATATCACATATATATATGTTGTCCTACTTATTGTCTTTGTTTCTGTATGACCTACTTTATAAATACTATTACATTTATTCTTGCGAATGGGCGTGGGTGTAAGTGTGGGTGGGTGGGTGTGGAAGTGGGCGGGTGTGAGTGAGTACTGTATTCTAATCCTACAAATACTCCCGCACCCACATCCACACCCATCCACGAAAAGACCAAAGATTTCACATTCATTTTTCGTGCTCTTCAAGATGGTGTAATGAAGCTTAATTTACAAGAAACTACTCCAAATATTTTGATTGCAGATGGTTCAGGTGCAATTCGTAATGGCTTTGAAGCCATTTTTGGAGAAAAACCTTTAGTAATGTGCTGGGCGCACATGCGACGTGCTGTGGTGAAGAAGATTGAATCTATGGTAAATAAGATGGAGAAGCAAGATTTGGTAGAAGATATTGATGCATTACAATTAGCACAAAGTGAACAAATATTTACAAAAGCATCCAATTTTTTTATTAGAAAATGGAACAGGAAAGAACCAACATTCATCGAGTATTTTCAAAAGGAATGATTAACTTCGCATCGTGGTTGGTACGAAGGTATTCAGCAGTTAACTCCAAGTACAAATAATGGTTTGGAGTCCAACAACAGAGTGATTAAAGACGAAAATACATTTCGAGAACGTCTTTCATTGTCCAGATTTAAAATTTTAACTTTTGAAATGGTACAAAAATGGTCAAAATCATACGAAAGAAGTCTCAAACAATTTCATGATCAACAAACGGTGACATTAGATATATGGACTAGTAGTTATCAATGAGTTAAGTTGAACAAATCTGTTGTATCAATCGAATTAGAAAATGAAATTGAATTTTACATAACAGGTGGTCAACAATTAAGTATTTCAAAAAACGAAATTGATGTAATGAAAAAAATGAAGTGGTATTCGTTCGACCAATATAAAGCAAAAGCATTTAATATCTGGCACGTGATATTACCAATGGATTTAGCAAAATGGTTAAATGGTCAATGTAATTGTCCAGTATATTTCAAGAAGTTCATGTGTAAACATATCGTTGGAATGGCAATCCGACTCAATTATTCTAAACCTCCACCTACTGCAAAAAACTTTCCAATAGGAAAAAAAAGACGTAGAGGTCGACCCTCAAAAGCTAAAAAAGCATTACTTATTCAATAAATGTTTGTTTCTTGTAATTGTAATATTCTCACTGATATAAATAGAAAAAAAAAATTACTGATCAAATAAAAATTTTCACTGATAAAAATAGCAAAAATTACTGATCAAAAAAAACTCATCTACTGATCAAAAATGATATATTTACTGATCATAATTACTGACATTCGACATTATTTACTGCTCAAAAAAAATAAATTTACTGATCAAAAACTACTGATCACTTTGTAAAAAAACAACTGACAATTCGGTATAAAAAACTGATCATTTAAATACGACTCTTTATTTTATCAGTACTATCACTTTTTTTTGCTTCATTTCTATTGATAATATGCATTGGTAGTTGAAATCATTTGTATTTACAAGTTTTATTGGATGGAGGGTGTGGGTGTGGATGTGTAGGCATCATTTTCTGTTCCCAATCCCCTACACCCACACTCAAACCCACAAGTACTCGCATTATGGGAGTACGAGGTTTCACCTTTGTCACACGCTTCACCACCTACACCCTTATCCACATTAAGATGGTTTTCGATTGTGGAATAATCAATGTCATGTTTTTTTCCGAGAAGTAAAGTAAAGAATGTATATCACTTGAGAAAATCGACAGATAATTATCGATCTGACGTGCTCTCTTGCTCACTATATTTATTTATATACAAAACACACTTATCGGTGTATTTATTTAATTAAGTTCGTATAGGATATGTAGTTCGTTCACATGTGCTAAGTAAGTGTGGATATAATCCTTTCATCCACCGGCACGTGCTTGAGAGAAGCAATGGCAATTCGTTCATTATCTTTTCGGATTTCAGTGACCTCAAAGAAAGTTCCGGGTAAAACAAGAACTTCGCTGTCGTTCGGAAAGTGGCACAACGGCTTTGGTTTAATCGTCATAAAACATCGTTCATTGAAGTCAACTTCGAACAAGATCTTTTGATGTTTGTTTTCAATATTTCCATGTAAGAAAAACAAAGCTTCTTCACGTCTTTCGCTAAAAGACATCATCCTGCGTGTTTCGAGCAGGCTGTTAGGATGATTCAAAGCCCATCGAAATGCTTCCACATCTCCGGAAAATAATCGACACCCGTAATAAACGCATCTTTTGAAATTGAGCTCCTTATAAAGAAGCAAATGTTTATACATTTCGACATGAAATGTCACGTCGTTTAGTACCATGTAATAGAAAGGTGTTTGTGCAGTGTACAACGTGATCATATGAGTGAAATCACCTGTCTCTCGATACTTCCTGAAGTACGCTTCACCTGTTTCCAGTTCGGACTTCTTTCCTTTTTCCTCACATAGTTTCCGAAATTTTTGTTCTAAATGTTCCAAAGTCGACTCGGCAGATATCGTATACTTATTCACAGTATATGTACCCAGTCGAGCTTTGAAAATACGAGTAGCCAGATTGAATTTATCCATTCCTTCCTTGTTCGGATAAAGCTGAACGAGTTCCGACTGCGGTAAATCATCATCATCGTCATTCTCTTCTGGTTTAATCTTTTGCTCAAACAACGCTTGAATGTCATTCGTTGATGCTTCTTCTTTTGCTGTTTTCTGATATTTGTTTTTGATGGTGGTATCGGCTCCTCGCCCAAGCAAAAGTTCGACAATAGCGACGTGACCATAGTATGATGCAGCATGAAGAGCGGTGCTTCCATTAGATTCCACACAATTAACGTCGGCAAATGATAAACTTGGTAAAATCCTTTTAACAGCATCGACATCACCATTACGACATGCCAAATACAAGTCGCTTGTTTTCTTTTCAGCCATTACTTACCATATAGCAACAGAAATGATGAAACGAAAGTAAAAAGCTTTTATGTTGATCGCATGTATATTTGTCCTTCATTGTCAACATTTTTTTTCGATTCTGTCGTGGAATAGGGTGTGCTTTCTTCGTTACATATAGTTTTTGATACTTGATAAAAGATGTCAGAAGTAAGCCCATTCTACTTAGCTTGTCGTAATGGCGATTTCGCCACAGTCCAGCACCTTCTCCCAAATATGACTGGTGACGAAAAGAACCGCGTCGAACCGAACGGAAGCACTGCTTTGCACGCCGCGAGCTTCTTTGGTCACCACGCAATAGTGAAACTCTTGCTGGAAAATGGCTGTGCTACATGGATTCGAAATAAGTACAGCAATACTCCCTGCGACGAGGCACATGACGATGAAATACGTCAACTATTCCGGCGACCCGATCGAGACGACGGATTTCATCGATTTGCATCGGTCGAAGACTGCTTTAGTGTCGTGACACGCGATGTGAGTGGTGGCAGCGATGAAATGGAAGATGACGATAATATTCCCAAAGGATGGGTCGACGGTTATAAACATGTTGGTACGGCCAGGGAAAGAGAGGCTACTGTACAGCAAATAGTTCATGCACAAATGATGAAGTACTGTCTCAAGAAATTTCAGGTTCGTTGATAGTTTCTTTGCTGAAGTCTTTCACAGTTCACTCTAAACAAAATGAGTATTTGTTTTCGGAGTGTTCTTCTCGACATACGAAGCTGTCCGAAATAATTCTCATCATTCTACGACGGTCACTGCTTTTGCTATTCTAGGTGTCTGATACATGTCAAGATGTCTTCAAGTTACTCAAGAAAACCGTACCCAGCAGTGTTTCAGGTGAAGCAGACTACGATGCTGCCAGGGAACACTTCGACAGATTTCGCAAGCAACAAAATGTGAATGATCTTGTTCGTTTGTATACTTTCGAAACCCCCTTTTATGATGCACTACAACGCAATGTTGATTCATACGCTATTGAATTATACTCTCGGCTGGCTTCACTGCAAGAACGTGCGTTCAAAGACGGAACAACTTACCGTGGTTTATCAATGACAGATGAGGGTATCAATGCCTATCGATGGGCGGCAAAAAAACAAGGCCGAATGATCGAAATAAAAACGATGGCGTCCACGTCGCAGGAAAAAGAGATCGCCATTGACTTTGCCCAGAAATCTGCACAGAAGCACAAAAATCATTGTGTCTTATTTGAACTAGAATTTTCTGACATCTGTTACACTGCCATCGATCTAAATGTGGGTGACATTCTGTCAAAATATCCACATGAGAAAGAAGTATTGCTCTTGCCTGGAACTCTCTTCGAAGTTCGCGAAGTGTCAAAAAATGATGGCAGTGATGGATATACGATTCGACTGGAAAACGTTCCAGTGCCACGGAAAGTCCTGATGAAAGCGCTCGATGAACTTCAGAATGCCTAAAGCATGTGCATAATTTTGGGTGTGGGTGTGTGTACGGAGAGAAGACAGACTCACCCTCAGGCTTAACCCTTAAGAGCCGTATGTCCCTTCCAAGGGACATCGTAAAATTCGAATTAAGTATGCAATATAATGTACAAACAATATTTTTTTTTACTTTCTTCGATTCATATGATTTAGTAGATTGTAAAAAAATAGTAAAAATAAATTTAGATATTTATAAGAAAAAAAAAATGCATTTTTCAAGACCGATTTTTTTATAAACCAATTTTCCGTTTTGAAACGTTTCTGTATTGATGAATGTTAGAACAAAATCTATTTTTCCAAGTGGAATCTCATGATACATCATTTCTCTATCATATGAAATCATTCAATGATGTTTTGATTGATCTATTGATGAATTATGATGATATCAAGAGAATGTCCCTTGAGAGGGACATTCGGTCATAACGGTCCAAACTATTTTAACAGTCAAAACATTTTTAAATTATTATTCGATCGATTTTTTGGTGATTTTTGCCCTCAATAAGGCCTGATAGGAACGAAAAATCAAAGGAGAATGTATCTTTCCTCTATAATCGTCGAAAATATTCGATTTTTTTAAATCTGTATGCCGTTTACGGTAGAGATATCACTCCAGTTTTCACTCTAAATCTTCCTCGATTCTCCTTGTTCCATTTTTCTCAATAATTTAGCAATCACTTCGCCCACGAATCAAATCCACCCGCTCAAATAGAGAGGGATCATCTTCTCGCAGCTGATATTGACCCTATGACCCTCAAATACACCCACGGACTAGCATTCTAATGAATGGGAAAATTCGTAAATACTAAAAACCTGTAAAATATTGCTTTTTTTGACTGTTTGTGTATCGAGAAATGAAGATATAAAAATATTTTGTGGAAAAAAAACTTTTAAAAATATCAATACATGTAAAATACTTTGGACCGTTAAGACCGTATGTCCCTTCTAAGGGACATTTTGTATTTCCATGACAAAAAAAAAATTTTTTTTTTTTACTATCGATTATTCTTATTGAGGTACTAGACTTTTTATTTTTGCAAAAATTTTGTTCAATTTTCATCGATAAGGCCTTCCGGCTCTTAAGGGTTAAGGATAGATGATGTTGTCATAAGTTTATTGTCATTTAAATTTATTGTATCATTGATTATAAACCTTATACGTACGATTTTTTAATTCATGAGTAACGATATTCAAATAAAAAGATTTTATGTCATGAAGAAAAGCTTTTTTGTTGTAAATATTAATTTAAGAAATATGACAAAAAGAAATAAAACAATGAAACACAAACATAAAAATATACATTTCAATTTGTTTTAGTTTTATATTGCAGATTCAACAGGCTCAATCGAAGAATACAACCAATCGTTCATAGATATAACTTGACGAACTCGTTATATTTAGTCAAATAATTAATTTGAATTAAATTTAGAAATATTTATAATTTAATTAGAAGAGATAAAATCTTGAAATCTAGAATTAAATCGAATCAATATTTATTAAGATCCAATTTTGTCAGAATATGTTTACTTTTTAAAATTACTATCTGTATAGTATCAAAAACGTATCTTTGACAAAATTAGAAAAGTAAAACTTGTTACGAATTCTGAACTGAGATCAGTTATCGATTTGTGAATTTCATTGATAAAACAAAACAACCTCGTCTTCACTTGCCTTCCAACTCATTCATGTCTAATAAACAATGAATTTCTTAATCGAATACGCATTCTATTACATTTTTCTTTATTCTCGAGGCTAAAATTAGATTAAAATGATGAATTTTGTGTACTCAAAATATGAAATTTACATTAGATGTCCGAATCCGTTGAAATGGGCTCATTATTGATTATTCTTATTATATAAACTATATATATATATATTTACTTTATTCAATTCTGATCGTAATCAGATACCAATCCACTAACATCGCACATAATGGCAAATCGACAATACTCCGACTGGTTATCGGATCCAGCATCAAACACGCATGGAAGTCATGCATCAATCGGACGCATTGTCTGGGCAGATGATAATGATCATGATCGGTAAGTACAGTATCGATTGCAAAATGTTTATATATCTCATATATTAATGATAGAATTGATCAAAACAAGACATCCTTTGCCTGGTATTGGTGTTTTAAATGGTGCATTATTGGATCATTACTAGCTGGAATAGGTTTAGCTATTGTACTCACATTCTGGTTGACGTCAAAAACAACAGAAACATTAAGTATGTAACAATTAAAATTATTATTTTCATGTTAATTAATTTCTCTTTTCGTTCATCAAATGAAATAAAAATTACCCACACTCATCCTCAAGTCATAGATTTATTTAAATTATTGACATTGAATCATAAGAATACATAATTTAATTCAATTAGTATTCAAAAAAAAGAAAGTATGTTACTATGATAGTCTATACTGTATAAGTATTTTTTTTAACTTGTTTTTTTTCTATTAAATTGAATTCCAAGGCGCTGAGTAAACGTAATAAGGTTTCTGTGTTGAGCAAAATCTATTTTAATTATAACTGATAGACTAATGAAATATATAAATAAAAAAAAGAATCACTATTAAAACTAGGAAATTATAATTAGAAAACTTCTTTCAATTTGTCTCACTCTATCCTTTTTGTTCAATAATTCATACGAAAACTAAAAGAAATCTTTTATAAAATAACACTACTTTCTGAAATATTTAACAGTTATTTTAGATACGTACTTGTATTACATATTATTTTAAGTTTGATGAAAATAAAAAAAGCCATAAAAGATCAATAAAACTAATCGCTAGGGTATTGAAATAATTTAGTTAACAAAAAGAATGAATCTATAATAATAAATTGAGATTAGTATATAAAGTCATTTCTGATATCTATAATTATTAATAATCTCAGGATATTACTTTAGAAATCATATTACTTATTTAGAAGAAAAAAAATGAGATGATCTGTTTTATTTGATATAGCTACTACTACTACATTGACAACAGATACAACTACGACAACAGCATTACCAACGTGTAATTCTACATGTGGTAATGATACAACCATTTTGAGTGTGTCTCTCTTTGCACGATGGAATTTTGAAAATACATTCGATGATTTAATGTTAACCTATAATGGAACATCTACTAATGGACCAACATTTGTAGTAGGCTATATAGGTCAAGCTCTTTCTCTTAATTCCGCATCGAATCAATATTTGTCAACTTCATTTATTCCAATAAATTCTAAAAGTTTTACTGTAGATGCATGGATATATCCTACTAGTTTTCCAAATACGAAAGGTATTCATACAATAGCTGGTCTTTGTCCACAACAAATAGCACAACAATGTTTTCAATTTGGTCTTCGTTCCAATGTAACAAGTTCAACATCAACAGGATATTTTGGTTTATGGGAAGCTGCTGATCTTCGAGGATCAATGTCTATACCTATTAATCAATGGACACATGTTGCAATTGTTTATTCAAAAAGTAAAACAAAACAAGTTATTTATGTTAATGGAAATTTAGATAATTCACGAGGATCTTCAAATGGTTTTAATGGAACATCTGGAACATTTTATATTGGAAATAATTATGATCTAACATCAAATCCTTCTTTTGGAACAAATAATTTTCAGGTATAATATATACATGGAAAATTTCATAACATTAATCTTCCTAAAAAACTATGAAAATCAATTTCATTTTTTTCTTAAAGGGTTATATTGATCAATTAACAGTAAGTAATGGAGTAAGATCAACATGTGAAATTCTCAATGTTGCTACAATGGCTTGTCGATTATCGTTCGATAATAGTACAAATTTTCTTGCTGATTCTGGTCCAAATGATGTTTCAATAAATGCATACAATTATATATCAGTCAGTGGATTAAAAGGAAGTCAAGCTATATCATTTACTACTTCATCATCTTCTTATCTTCAAACAACAGGTTTTCGTTTTCTTTCATACAATAATGCACCTTTTTCTATATCTCTTTGGATTCAACCAACACTCTTACAAGGAACTCTTGTTGGTTCATCATTAGGTTATGATCCACTGACATTTGCATCAAATGGATCTCTTATTGCTCGCGTAGCTACAGTATCAGTTTCATATAATATTCCTTTAGAATTGACACCCATATGGTCTCATATAGTTCTAACATGGTCATCATCAGGTGGTCTTAACTTATATATCAATAATATTCTTGTTAAAAGTGTAGCAGCTTCAACATCAACTGGAAGTGGAGCATCAACAAATAACTTTATCTTAGGTGGTGGATCTTTTTCAGGAACAATTGATGAATGGCGCCTTTATTCTAGAGAATTATCTTCCAATGATGTATGCGCGATATTTACAAACTAATTTATTTTTCGATGATATTTGTCTCAACTGATCAAAGATTTTACTATTCTTTTCTATACTTTTGTAAATATTATCTCAAAATAATTTCTTCATTCTATTCATATTAAATTAATATATATTTTATTTTATTTTTTTTTCTAATAAATTATTACAAAAATGAAAGACATTAAAATCAACTGTAAATTAAAATCGTATAAAAATAAGGCATGATTTTATTGCACATACCAAAGATATAATCAAAATAAAAAAAGAATTTTTTAATAACGTGTTAATCGAAGTGGAAAGTCTATTTGAGAACAAAAAAAAATATTTCAAATCAAAACTAAATATTATAACTTACTCTCAGATATCATTCGATCATCTTCAAAGACAAGAACAATACTTATTTCAAATTCTAAAATTCAATAATTTTTTTTCTTTAAATCTCATATACATATTTTAATCAATATACCTATTTTAAAATTAGTTGTTGATAACGTAGGACATGTAAATGTTCTTGGAAAAATCATTCGAATTGGAATATCTGCATGATGTGCGACATTACCATCACCTATTTGTATATTTTGAATTTCTGTTGCTAAAATAAGATACAAACGAATATTTAATATAAAGCATAAAAATTCATATTTAATATGTACAATCACGTGAAAAACCTTCCGCACAACCACATGTTTCAATACGTAAAAGTTGAATCTCAATTGATTTGATTGGTAGTTCACTTTCTTCTACAGTTAACTAAAAACAAATAATAAAATATAAACATAATCGAAATAAAAAACACCAACCTCTCCAGATAATTGTTCCGTAAGAATACAACAAAGATTATCAAGTTGACCTGAGAGTTTGAATTTTGGTACATCAACTTTCTATTTACAAAGGAAAAAAATAAAGATAACATTTTATTATATATTTACCCGCCATTAGAGAAAAAATTCTAGTAACAAAATGTTTATTCACTATTTCATCATTCTACATGGCTTTATTGTAGTTTTCTCATCAACACATAATCATTCTAATATTTTCTTACAATGGTTTCGATATAACAAAGAAAATCAAATAATTAATTGGACAGAAATAAATAAAAACCATACACGTATACGACGTCATTTTTTAAGAGAGAATACAATTAATGATGAAAATATTTATGACGATGAAAAAGATCTTAGAAATCGAGATTTACATGAAAAATTTCAAATGAGTAAGTTATTGTACATAATAAATCGCTGTTTGTTTTCTCATTCGTTTTAAATAGATAACAACAGATTAAACGAAGATGATTATATGAATCAAGCTCGTTATGAAAATGACCGGGGAGTAGACAATAGATTTATGCAGGTGTGTGCATTCTACATTATTACTAATAGTATGTTTAGAATATCTTAGAATGATTATTTAAATCAACAAGAAAATGAAGATTAAATCTAGAAATACATACATTTTGAATAGTTTGTATTGATTCAGATGTTATTTCAAATGCAGCTGGCTTTGTTACTGCTTTATCAGCTGCTAATTCATGTTCAGGACTATATTGAACATTGAATTCCATTTGTTTACTCATATCTTTTGAAAGAAATGTTCGTTTAACATCAACACGAAGAAAATACTAAGAGAAAAATAAATAAATAAATAAATGAAATATTCTAGTTTTTTTTCTTACTTGAATATTAACAAATACTCCATGATAGGTTTCATATAATGGTTTATTTGGTTTACCTTTTAATTGTACTTGAAAAGGTATTTCAGTTTTAACATTTGATATTTGTCCTGGTTTAGCTAATTCAATTGTTTGATTAATAAGTGTAACAGGCTATAAAAGAAGATATGAATTTAAATAAAATAAGGCTTATTATTACTTTTGTTGAATTATAAAATGCTTCAAAAACACCAACACTTTTACCACTTAAATGTAATTGAACAGAACCATCAACTGTTATACTAATACCATTATGTTTAAATGATGAAGGTGATGATATAATGACTGTACCTTGAATAATATCCTAAGGAAAAAAAATCAAACATCGACAGATTATTGATTTCCAAATTTACTTACATTTTCATTATATGTTTTTGTATATCGATTAAGACGAATATCAATTGAACCAGCCATTACCCTGCAATAATGTATGAGTGAAAGATTCTGTTAAAAAATGAATGGATGGTTGAAATCTAATAATTCTAGCGACCTCTATACAATATCTCTTTTTTTGAAATAAAATCTATCATTTCATTAATAGAATCTACTCTCTTCTCATTAGAATTATTTTTGAATTTAAATTATAGATTAATAAATTAAATCGTATTGGTTTTTGTTACTAAGTGACGACAAGTGTAAAACTTTGCATAATGGTACAATCATCGATTAGGTGCATTAAACGAAAAAAAAGTGAAATTTCGAGAAAAAACAAGAAATCATACGATCTTTGTTTCTACTGAAATTATACAATAAAATATTTCTTGCAGTTTTCTAGAAATGATGAACGGCAAAGGCGGTTCTCCGCCAGCGGTATCTAGTGCTTCAAAGTCTAATAAAGCAGTTTTACCTCAAATTCAACGGCATCCAGCCTATTATGAAGATCCATACAAAAATTCCATATTATTTTCATTCAAACTTAAAGATAAACAACAAGCAATGCTCGAAGGAATCGTGTAATTTTTTTTTTGGCTTTTAACTTTTATCAATAATTGATTAATTATGACAAATTCCATTTGATTTAGTCGTGAGCAAGCAGCACGAGAAGAACGAGCTGCACTTGAACCATATGATGGAAAACGTCGCCCACGAGAAAAATCTCCCGATTATCCAACAACAGTATGTTGAAGTTTTTCCTTTATATTATTCTTCTTATTTTATTCCTTTTAGGCTGTTAGTGAAGATCGTTCACTTCGAGTAAGATTTTATGCAAGATATATATTTTTTTATTTTATTTTATAAAATAGACAAATTATTTATACATGAAAGAACGTGTTGGAAAATTACCGATCACACCAGCATCAGATGAATCCTTTAAACATATTATTGGTCGTTATATCGATAAGAAACTTAAGGAAGGTCCACAAATGAAACGTGTTATACAAAATATTGTCAATGAAACAAAAGATTTATATGAAGATAGTATGAAAACAAGTCAATGTAAGTTTCTTTTTTCTATTCAATTAAAAATAAATAGTTTTTTTTCTTATTTATAGTACAACATACTCTTGTTGCACCAAAAGTTAAAGGTCTTGAAAATGAAGTAGCCGGTCCACCTCCTTCAGATCCCATTGGCTATGGTAATTAAAATAAAAACAAAATAATAATTCTCGCTTTTCTTTGTCTTAGATTTTTCAAGTCCTTGGGAAGAAGACTTTCGTGATAATCGTGATTCAATCAAAGAACATTTATATATTGTTCATCCAACTCATCGACAAGTACTTGAATTATGTAATAAAACAATTTCATCGAGAATTATGGTTGAATTTAAACGAATAAGGTACGTACCTCCTTAGTTACATCACTAGGCAACAATAAACATCATCATCATCTTATTTTTGTTTTCTTAAGATCAATGGGTGCATTAGATTTTCCACAATTACGTTCATTTGTTCTTCGTGAAATTGAACGTAATGAAGATTATTTAAGTTCAAGTTGGTATCCACTTGTTTGTCAAATATTTCAAAGTGGACAAATACCTGGTATAACAACAACAGCAGAAAAAACAAATGCATTTTATAATTCTGTCAATACACTTGTTTCTAATCAATTACGTGATCTTCTTGAACGAAGTATTGATATGTGGTGTTTAATATTTAATCCAAAAGATCAAGATTATCTTCCAATAATTAAAATTGATATTATTCTTAATGAAGATCAACAATCAAATATGAGTAAAATTGATTTTCAACCAAATATAACGGAATTTATTGGCGTACTTCGTTATGTTGTTGATAAGATTGCACATTCAATTAATGGACCTAATCGAATACGTATAGCAACTATGCAAGCATTTTTAAATGGCGATGATAATATTCCACTTGATACCAAATTAACTCAAACAGTTATTGAACGTGCTTATAAACAATTAGCAGATATAGCTGAATATTATTTTCAAGAACCAAATAAATTATTAAAAGCTTACGAAGATAAATATAATTATTTAATTAATGGACAAGCTCAAGCTGAAGTAGAAAAATTTATTACAGAAGTGCATACATTTGATGATTATTCTCGAGTAAATTTTTTTTGTAAAAAAAAGTATGTCGGTCATATTATTTGTTTTTAGGAATTTAATCGTTTTAATGACATTGTCAGACAAATAATGCTTGAACCAACAACTGCTGATTTTCCATTAATTCAGACAAATACTGACCAAGTTAAACAAGGACTTATTGATGCGGCTCGTAAACATCGTCATACATTGCTTAATAAACTTGTTACAGATTATCGACGAGAATGTCAAAGTATTTGTTCTGATTTTGAAGCAATAAAACAACGTGCTCTTACTAAACCAGCAACAACTGCTGAACTTAATGATATTATTAAATATATTGATAATGCTAAAGGAGAAAAATCTATAACATTAGGACGACGAATAAAAGAAGTTCAAAGACAAATGGAATATCTTCTTGAAGAATATTTCTTTTCCGATGAAGATATTCGTTTAAATGCTGATACACTTTTATGGCCAAGAACTATTGGACCTATATTTGATGCCAATGATGAAGTAAATTGTTTTTTTTTTTTGTAAAGATTTAATCTAAAAACTCTTTTCATTAGATTACTCAACAAATTCGAGCTAAAAATGAACAAATTCTTATGGAAAGACGTGAACGTTTATTAGCTGAATTACAAAAAATGCAACGTCGTGTTGATGAATTTGCTGATAATGGTGAATTAAATATGATGGCGGAATATGCTCAAGATGTGAAACAAACACAAAAGAAAATAGTTGATGCTGAAAATGAAATTGATTGGATTAATCAAGTATAATATTTGATTTTGTATTTTCTTAGACATTTGATGTTGTATTTTAGGAAGAAATTCAATTTCGAATGCAAAAAACTGAATATCCACAATTAGATTCAATCAAAACAGCTGTTGATCCATACTATCGTCTATTTACCACAGTTCGTAAATGGCAAATATCTGAAAAGAAATGGATGGATGGTTCATTTCTTGATTTGAATTCTGAGAAAGTTGAAACTGAAGTTGAAGAATATCTACGTGAAATATTTAAAATAAAAAAACAATTTACAAATTTAGTTAAAAAGAAAAAACTTGAATTAGCAAATAGAGTTATGGAAAAACGTAAAGCACGAGGTATGTTAAATAATATTTAGCGTTTGCTTTGCTATGACAAATAGAAAACAAAGAAAAAAGACATCGAGATAGAATAATTCAAATGAGTTTAGGAAAAAAACGTTTGGAAGACGAATCGGGTGGTGGAAGCGCTGCAGTTGATGCAGAAGCTGAAAAAGATGAAGATGAACGTGAATTGGAAAAACTTGAAAATCAGGATCCTGAAATGTTACGTATATGTACTGTTATACTTGAACAACTTGATACTTTTAAGGTTGGCCAGTGTGTCAAAATAACTAAATTTAGAGTTTCTCTAATTTCTCTTTGTTTGTGTGTTTTAAAATAACTTTCTTTTGCTTTTTATTAACTTTGCACTTGCTTGCTTTGATGTGTATGTATATATATATATACTAGGCCCAAACAAAACGGCTGAACAAGAAGAACTCCAGCAGCAAATGGAAAGCTATGGAGATCTTCTTTTTGAATTATTTAACAAAGTGGAAAGTGCAATAGAGCACTTTAAGGTGTGTGTTTGTCTTCTTTTTTAATGTTTTTTTTCTTGTGCCTAATATAAAATTATTCAAAAACTAAAAAAATTAATATATTTCGGATTCTTTTTCAAAGGTTAACTTACCTACTATCAGTATATTATGTAATCCGGGTATTCGTGATCGTCATTGGGATAAAATGTCAACTATATATCAACGTAATCTTAAACCAGATACAGGTACAACACTTCGAAAAGTTTTACAACTTGGATTAGAACCATATATGGAACAATTTGAACAAGTTAGCGCTGGAGCGTCAAAAGTAAGATGAGATGATAATAATGAAGAAGAAAATATGTATCTATTTGTAATTAGGAATATTCATTAGAAAAAGCTTTAAGAAAAATGCAAGAAGATTGGGAACCTGTTATGTTTAATTCAAGTAAATATAAAGAAACAGGTTTAACTATATTATCATCTGTTGATGATATTCAAACAATTCTTGATGATCATATTGTGAAAACACAAACTATGAAAGGAAGTCCATTTATTAAACCATTTGAAGACGAAATTAAGGTAAAAATTTTCATTTCATTAATTGATAGAATATTCTATCATTGAATAGGCTTGGGAAACTCGACTTTTATTAATTCAAGCTATTATCGATGTTTGGCTTAAAGTTCAATCTAATTGGCTGTAAGTCATCATTCTTATTATTCATCTTAATATATTTTTCTTTTCAGATATTTGGATCCAATTTTTGCATCTGAAGATATCAAGTAAGTTTGTTTTTCTCTTAATAAAAAATATTTTTCTATGAATATTTTTTTCCAGTCAACAAATGCCAGAAGAAGGTCGTCTCTTTTCAACAGTCGATCGAAATTATAAAGATGTCATGCGTCATCTTGATAAAGATCAACATGTATGTATATTTCTCAAATATAAGAGATTCTATTATTTCTTTTAAAATAGGTTATGGCAGCTACTGGTCTATCTGGTTTATTAGATAAATTAAATGATAGTCATGGATTACTTGAAAAAATCAATAAAGGCTTAAATAATTATCTTGAAAAGAAACGTTTATTTTTTCCACGTTTCTTCTTCTTATCAAATGATGAAATGCTTGAAATTCTATCTGAAACAAAAGATCCTACACGTGTTCAACCACATTTGAAAAAACTTTTCGAAGGAATTGCAAAACTTGATTTTGATGCTAAAGTTGATATACATGGAATGATGTCAAGTGAAGGTGAAAAAATTAAATTTATACGTGCAATAAGCACATCAGAAACAAAAGGTGCAGTAGAAAAATGGCTTATACAAGTTGAAGATGTTATGCTTAAATCTGTTCGACAAGTTATTGAACAATCTTATGTTGCTTATCCAAATGAATATCGTAGTGAATGGGTTACAAATTGGCCTGGACAAGTTGTTTTATGTGTTTCACAAATTTATTGGACAACTGAAGTACAAGAAGCATTAATAAATGGTGTTAAAGGACTTGCGTATGTTCTGTTTTATTATTATACTAAGAAAATAATTTATATTTGTTTTTTTTCTAGAGAATATTATACAAAACTTGAAACACAATTAGGTGATATTGTTGAACTTGTTCGTGGAAAATTAAATAAACAAACACGTATAACATTAGAAGCGTTAGTTGTTATTGATGTACATGCAAAAGATACAGTCAAAGATTTAGTTAATAAACAAGTTCAATCAGAAAATGATTTTAATTGGTTAGCACAATTACGATATTATTGGGAAGAAGATAATTGTCGTGTTCGAATAACAAATGCATCAGTTAAATATTGTTATGAATATTTAGGAAATACACCACGGTAATTAATTGAAATGAAAAAGATAAAAAATATTTCAATGTTGTCTTTAAATTTAGTCTTGTTATTACACCATTGACAGATCGTTGTTATCGTACACTTGTTGGTGCATTTCATTTAAATTTAAATGGCGCTCCTGAAGGACCCGCTGGAACAGGAAAAGTAAATTTTCTATGATAGAATAAAAATCAGTCAATCAATTTTATTATTTATAGACTGAAACAACAAAAGATCTTGCTAAAGCTCTTGCAGTTCAATGCGTCGTTTTCAATTGTTCAGATACCATGGATTATAAAGGTATGGGTAAATTTTTCAAAGGTTTGGCATCAGCAGGTGCATGGGCGTGTTTCGATGAGTAAGTTTTTCTTTTATTGAAATATATCGTTGATATTTTCTTTTGTACAATAGGTTCAATCGTATTGATCTTGAAGTATTATCTGTACGTAATCTGTTTTTTAATCTACGATTTATTTATATTGTATTTTCATTCAGGTTATTGCTCAACAAATTTTACAAATTATTCAAGCTGTTCAAGGTAAAGTTAGTACATTTGAATTTGAAGGAACAGAACTTCGACTTAATCCAAATTGTTATGTTTGTATTACAATGGTAAATATTTTATATTGATTTTACAAAAAAGAAAAACGAATTATTTATATTTTTAGAATCCTGGTTATGCTGGTCGATCAGAATTACCTGATAATTTAAAAGTACTTTTTCGTCCCGTCGCTATGATGGTTCCTGATTATGGTCTTATTTCGGAAATATCATTATATTCATATGGATTTATGAGAGCTCGTCCATTATCCGTTAAAATCGTCACTGTCTATAAATTATGTTCAGGTATAAAATAACCAAAAACAAAAACACTTCATTCCATTTTTCTTTCTAGAACAACTTTCATCACAATATCATTATGATTACGGTATGCGTGCTGTCAAATCCGTTCTATGGGCAGCTGGTGCTTTAAAACAAAAATATCCGACAGAAGATGAAGATATTCTAGTTCGTAGAATAATTTATTTCAACTTTATTCTAAAATAAAAACTTCTTTTTAGATTCTTCGAAGTATAATCGATGTTAATTTACCAAAATTCTTAGCTCATGATATACCTTTATTTAATGGTATCATTAGTGATTTATTTCCTGGTGTAACTTTACCAAAACCAGATTATGATCTTATAAATGCTAATATGATTGAAATATGTACACGAAAAAATTTACAAGCAACAGAAGCATTCATGACAAAAGTAACACAAACATATGAAATGATGTTAGTTCGACATGGTTTTATGCTTGTTGGTGAACCATTTGCTGGTAAAAGTATGGTTTTACAAGTTCTAGCTGAAACATTAACATTAATGAATGAAAAGGAATTAGCTGATGAACTTAAAGTTCAATATAAAGTTATTAATCCAAAAGCTATTACAATTGGACAATTGTATGGAAATTTTGGTAAGAAAAATAATTTTACAAAGAAAATAAATATTCGTTTTTTTTGCTCTTAGATTTGGTATCACATGAATGGAATGATGGTGTATTAGCTAATACATTTCGTGATTTTGCTATGACAGAAAATCCGGATAGAAAATGGGTTATTTTTGATGGACCTGTTGATGCTGTTTGGATTGAAAATATGAATACAGTATTAGATGATAATAAAAAATTATGTTTAACAAGTGGCGAAATTATTCAAATGTCGAATGTTATGTCAATGATTTTTGAAGTTATGGATTTATCACAAGCATCTGTATGTATAGAAAATAATTAAATGTTATATTTACTATTGATTATTTTAGCCTGCTACTGTTTCACGTTGTGGTATGATTTATTTAGAACCACGTGTACTTGGCTGGAGACCATTAGTTGAATCATGGGTTAATCATGAAATAGCTGAACCATTGAGAGTATTTAAAAATGAAATTTTAGCTCTTTTTGATTTTCTTGTTCCACCATCTCTTGGTATGTAGAAAAATAGTTTTAAAAGAAAAACATCTATATTTATTATTATTATTCTAGACCATCTTCGACATGTAACAAAAGAACTTAATCCAACTGGTGATTCAAGTTTAGTACGTGGTATGATGAATTGGATCAATATGTGTATGGGTGATGCATTAAAAGATGAAACTGAACCAGAAAAAAATAAAAATATACGTACATGGCTTATTTATATTACTCAATGGGCTTTAATTTGGTCAATTGGTGCAACAAGTGATACAGATAGTCGAGTAAAATTTGATTTATTCTTTCGTGATTTATTACGTGGAAAACCTGATCCTATACCAGATATATTTCAAGGCAAATTTGATATACAAATACCTGAAAAAGGTCTTGTACATGATTATTATTATTTCTGTAAAAATCGTGGTGATTGGCTACCATGGGAAAATTTAATGAGATCAGCCGAAAGTACAGGAACAACAGTATCAATGAAAAATATTCGTCGTTATATTGTTCCAACTATTGATACAACGAGAGTTAATTTTATGCTTGATCTTATTGTACCAAGTAAACGACCAATTCTATTTGTTGGTTCAACTGGTACTGGAAAAAGTGCTTATGTACAAAATTATCTAATGAATAAAATCGATAAAGATCAATATATGGCATTCTTTATTAATTTCAGTGCACAAACTTCAAATAATCAAGTTCAAGTAACAAATTTGATCTATTTTTTTGTTTAAAATAAATATATTTGATATAGGATATTAT